CCCCAAAACCCCAAAACCCCAAAACCCCAAAACCCCTAATATAATTTCTACTTGATAAAATTTAAAATATTAAAAATACAATTAGGATTATGTTTTCAAATCATAAAGGAGGAGCTCCAACCAAGAACTCTAAGGAATCCAGCGAAATGATCAGCGAACAAAAACGAGAAAAGAACGCAGCTAAGATAAGTGACATGGGTGTCGCCATTGACGAGAAAAGTTCCGATGATTCCTTCGAGAAATACTTCTCAAAAGAATTAGACCTTGAAGAGGATGAAGTGCCGATTGTTCTCCATGAACTCAATGATAGTGCACTTAATTATATCGCTCGAGAGTCTTATGATAAAGCTCTAGTATTACTCCAGAAAGCACAAGCTATTATTGAGCAACTCAATTTAGAAAAATAGCAGGGCTGACAAGTTCCTCATGCTCACAATCCTGCATAATATGGCTATGTGCTACCAAAAAATAGGCGCACTTGAAGAGTGATCATTGTACCTTGAAGGGTGTCTCATGAATGTAGTCTCATGATTTGCAGATGATCTCTCAGAAGCCCCAGAAGAGAAACTCAAGAAATTAAAATATGAATGTAAAGCTCATATGCAAGTATGAGCTTTATTATCTCAGCTCCACAGACACAAGGAAGCTCTGATTCACGCTAAAATTGCGATCAGTATCTCTCACTACCTCATAAAAGATGTTCATAAGTTAATAAAATACTATGTTGAAAGGATGAAACCTAACCCAAACGAGAAAATGATAAATTTGGATGATGAAGATAACGAAGCTGAATTTGATAATCAAAATAAAAATATAAAGAAACTTATCAACAAAAAGCACATTGACTTCCTCTATGATCCTCAGCTGTCACTTCTAGCTAAGACTTCGATAAAGTTACTTCCGATTGCTGAAGAGCTTGAAAATAGGTTAGTCCCTGAAAACATCGTCCTCAAAGAGTCATTTGATGATACTGATCATGAAGAGATCAGACAGCAACAAAATAGCAACCCTAAAACCACAGAAGACTTCAACACTGTCTTTGATAAAGTAGACATGAGGAATCTTCTGGGGTATCTGAACCAATCTGACTGGATCTGGTCCTTGAATATTGGAAATATTATGCAGATATCTCCACTCACAATGCAAGACATTTACACTACCTCTAGCATTGAATACGAGCTTTCAAGAGAACTTGTGCTTGAGAAAATATGATTCCTTGCAGTTTCATATTTCTGTGTATCCACAGAGCTGAGATTCATAGTTCAAATGAAGCAAGATGACGAGATTACCGACCCAGTAATGAAGAGAAGAGAGTCCGAATATTTCCATGGTAAAGCCCTTGACATTGCAGCAGGATTCCTACCCAGTGAGTGACCACTTGTGAATCACATTTTGATGAGTTACCAAAAACATCATGCTCCTTCTCAGCAGGTAATAAATGAGGGAGAAGAATACCAGGAAGACTTGAAAGTTATCCGACCATTACAAGGAATTGAGTCAAATAAGCATCAGCCCATAGTCAGAGCTAACCAAAATTTAAATGTCACAGTATCACCTCTTGAGGCAAAACCAATTATCTACCTCAGGCACTTACAAAGGGTAATGGATGCTTGGGATAAGAAGCTATCAAAACCCTTTAGAGCAGCTACCACCCAAACTACTATGAGTCAAACAACAGCTCACTACCCAAGTTCTTCAAATGGAAATTCCTCGAAATATTTTTCGATAAAAGGCTCCAAGAAAAATGGACTTATACACTCTAATATTGCCGGGAATTCGAAGAAGAGGTAACCAATTTAAATTTGTAACATCGTTCTAGAAAAGCAAAGAAGAATAATGCTGATGAGCCTGCTGATTCAGAGCTCCCTTTCAAGACAAGTGACAGTGATAAGATCAAAATGAAGTCCAAATCTCACAAGCACTCTAAAGAAGATGAAGAGATGAACAAAATTTTGACTGCTCTCAGGTATTTCAATGAGAAAAATCTCAAAAATCACAAGGATGAAAGTATCCTCAATACCTCTGACATTGTCAACACAAAGCCTGCCCATCAATTAGACGAGAATGAAAAGACCACACCTCTCAAAGAAGGAGAGAATAGACCCAAGACTTGAAGAAGAAAGAGGAGTTCCAAAACTAGGAAGAAGTCTGGTAATTCTAATGGAGGTAATAATTCCGCCCTTGGATTCCACTCTCATCTCAAGCACAATCCTCTCATTCATAACATTGAAAATCTTAAAAATCCTCATAACAGGAGTGTGAACATGGCCAGCGATTCTCCAAAGCTCAAAAAGAGAAAGGGTCGCAAGAGCAGAGTTTCTCCAAATAATTTTGCTATTAACTACCAGAAAAGATATCCAGCTGGGATGATGAACCAGATTCATCACTCCAAGAGAGTCAGCTTAGATCATGAAGACCTCACTATGATCTCTAAATCAAGACCTAAATCAGCCAAGCAGAAGAAGAAAATTGCAAAAGCTGCTTCGAAGATCAGTAAGCTGCCAGTAAACTCATTCATGGGTGGAGAGTCATTCGACAAAGAGGACAAGAATCTCTCTAAATTTATGAAGAAGCACAACTGTTCTTTCAAAGCTAGACCAGGTAACAGATCAAACATCGACTCCAAAAAGCGTGGGCAAAAACTCAAACAATTCAAACAATCAGCGCCCAAAAACGGTAACCTGGCCGCTTACGAAAATCTGAGCTACATCGAAGACCTCGAAATGCACAACAACATCGACGACATAGTAAAATCCAAGCTCTCTCTCAAGTACAAATCCAAAAAACCCTCTGGCTCCAAAAAGAAAAAGGCCAAAAGAAGTGCTACTCCTGCTTTAGCTATAAATTTCTAACTGTACTAGACTCGACCCTAATAAATTCTGCTAAATTGATAAGCCAAGTAGTACTATTTCTTTGTAGATTTTGGGGTAGGAAATTTAAGCCACTTAATTTCATGGGAAATTGCACTGTAGAGTATGAAGTTTGGGAAGAACCGAAGAGATTAGAGATAGGAGGTCTTTCTGCCAAGCTTAGGGGGTAGGGATTAAGGTGGGAGCAAGGATAATAGGCTAGATTATGAAGCGGAGGCTTACCATAGGCGGGTTCGGAAGGGGATCATGCAGTTTTAGGGGTTTAGGGTCAACTTTTAGTCAATGAATTATTAATTAATTAATTCAAAATCCAGGAAAAGTTTCGGGGTTTTGGGGTTTTGGGGTTTTGGGGTTTTGGGGTTTTGGGGTTTTGGGGTTTTGGGG